GAACTATGATGTATACAAATGTAGCTGCAATATATATTGTGAATCCTAGCTTTCGCTGCTGTGTGCCGAAGTAATTATCTACTATAATTACTGATATTATCAAAATCTGATTGTGTTAYTTCTATCAGATTTCAAGACGCGAGCGCYTACTGGCGGGAAAGCTGTGGACATGCGCAGTGCRTTTTTCACCAGTGTCAACAATTTGCTATTYGTATAAGATAATTTTTCTTTATTTTATTAAACATACTTATCTATAAACTTAACTATAATTTTTTTCACTTAAGGAGAAGAACACATAAAAAAAAAGTAAAAGTCATATGAGGAAATTTTAATTTCATGCTATATGTTAAACTGTTTTTCGTTTTTAAAATCACCTCTTTCGACACACTACACCAAGACTTTGAATGAAATTTTAATTCAACTCAACTTACTCAGTCTACATCTATTAATGGATTTTTGATAATCACATCAGATTGTAATATTTTCAGATTGTCAGATCGATTTTCCAAGACAGYMAATTACAGACTATGTGGAAATATCATCAGCASTTRCACAAGAAGTTACATCGTTCACTCTTAGCTTTTGGTTGAAGCCTGAATCATCGTACAAAAACATCCTTCGGATCTTTTCTTACTACGACAATAACGGGGACACTGATATGTCCCTGGCGATTAAAGACGATGGTGTAGCAGAGATAAATGTCGCAGGTGGCTCAGCGTAAGTCTAATGAAAACAATGATTTGATATCAATTATGAAACTCATTAATAATTCATGAAMCATTACTCCAAATAGGATTAAATTTGGTCAGGTRACTGACCTTGTAAATCTGATATAACACTAGTGCTGCATCCGATTTACAACACGGTCGTCACCTGCATTGAAACTAACCCAACAATAGCAAGGGTCTCAGTTTTAACTCCCTAATATCAAAGAGCGGGGGCCCTCGTCGGAAATTCTGAAAGTGACCCCTAAAAGGGACCTCTATTGTGAGATGATGGGCGTGGTAGTGCTGAGAGGGACCAATCAATAACAGATCATTTTGTTTTGGTTTCCCGATTTTATTTGAGTTTTTGCACAATCATGGAACACCGACGGCTCGTATTGAGTTTATGACGACGTTGCCATTTTATGACCGCTTAGGGTTGTCGTATACAAAACTTAGTTGGTAGGAATTCTCGTCATTATCACCCTAAGCTGGACCAAAATACCGATTTCAAACCCTAAAAGGGACGTCGAGGACCCCGCCCTTTGATATTAGAGAGTCCCCCCCTCCCCGGGGTCTGCACATTGATAGAAACTGATTTMAAACCTAGCAAAGGTCTGTGATGCGACATTAAAACTGAGACCTCTGCTAGTGTTGGGTTGCGATAAAGCGCTGATGACCTTGAACATCATTTCTTTATATCTGATATTAATAGAACTGATTAATAAAACATCAGTACTTTATCGGGATTTAAAAGCCCATCATGTGACCCAATAGTTGTGTGCTCGTTGGACTAATAGCTCATGAATTATTCATGAGTTGTAGAATATGGCATAATAGACCTTCACTAGGTTCGACTAACTTTCAATATGGCGCTTTTTTCACATCGCTTCCTCTCGAATGCGTTGAGCTGCGAGTAAAGATCATGATGGACTACTCCAGTTAATTTCATTGTACTCTATGTTTTCAGAGCTCTTGACTCGCACATCACCATGGATGACACTTGGCAGAACTTTATTATCGTATGGAGAAACAGCGACGGATTACTCAGACTTTTCAAAAATGGTGGAAACAAGGAGTCTGAAAAGGCCTCTGAAGGTAAAAAGGTCAAGACTGGCGGGACGATGTATTTGGGTCAGAAGCATAAAGATGATGGGTTCGACAAAACCAAGTTAATGAGGGGAAGTATTGCAGACTTTGAAATTTGGAGCAACTGGATAACTGATGGCACGGCAATCAAAATATACAATTATAATTGTCAAACTGCGGCTAATTTTATACCAGGAGATATCCTGTCTTGGGATAAAATATTGAAATCCGCGATAAAAGGAAAGGCTGAACGCATCTGTCCTAGTACATGCAAGAAGCCTTAGSCTCAGATACAGCATACAATCTGGGTATTTAGAATAGTTCACCGGTCTACAGAACCAGATACAATTCTAAAGAATTCCTGTGCAATTTTTTTGGAAACGCATGTTTATGATATCGTGTTCAGGGACAAGCAGGGGGGGCTGGGGGGCTATAGCCCCCCAGTAATTTTTCTGCCATTTTGAATTTTCTTAAATAAAGAGACGCAGAGCCTCCTTATGAAATTTCACTTTTCTTTGTATTTAAGATTGTGTAAAAACCAAGCATGAAAAATTATTGAACCTTTTCGCGAGGTATTTGGGACTTTTGTGAATATCGTGTGAACGTGTGTGCGGTTTTAGCGGTCAGAAATATGTCTGGGATAATGCTTCAAAACGCTGGAAATGACATTTCCGAGAGTTAAGATTTCAAAATTTTCCGGTGTGTAATTCCCCCGGATTCCACCTAGTACCTCCTGCCTTTGCAGCCGATAACTCCCCCCCCCCACACCAAAACAAATTACCGCTCCGCGGTCCCTGGTGTTTATAGGTTTTTTTGCACATGCACTATTCGAACTAAATTAATTATGTATCGATCGAAGTTTAAAGGAACATGGCATCACTTTCGAGCTTTTGTTTATGTTTGACAATAAAACTGAATATCAGGAAAAAACGTACTTACTGAAATATGTATAGTTTAAAACACGAGAGAGAGTGTTTTATCAGCTATAAAGATTCGAGAAGAAGGCGAGAATCTTCATACCTGATAAAACAAGATCTCGAGTGTTTTAAACGGCTTAAAAAACTCCAACACTAATTTGAAACTCAAATCCGTTAAAATTCTTGGAGAAATTGCCGTACAAATATGTTCAGAGATAAATGGGGCAAACTGATCATGCGCGAATCACTTTACAAAGCACATTGAATACGCCTAAAGTAAAATAGAAACGCTCTTGGCTGTTCACTGAAATCGGTTGACATCCTGCATTGGTCAATGATCAGGTTTCAAACCTGAGACCTTTGCTAGGGTCATGGACCTTTATATCTGATAAAGGTCACACCCTTATTAGTATTCTTTATATAAAGAATACTAAAAAGGAGTGTTTTATCAGATATAAAGGTCCATGCATGTGACCAAATAGGCTCATTCTATTGGCCTAGTAACTCATTAATTATGTATGAGATTTTTAAATAGGTTATAAAACTATCAAGTTTACATAATCTTCTTTATTTACTATTTTATGCTAACACAACAGAACCTTTCTTTCAGAATAATGATAATGACTGATACTGGATTAAAATAATCAGCAGCACATGCAGACACATCGGAAATATACTATAATAAATATATCAATAGCAATTATAGGTGCAATTTGTTTGCTCAGTAAAAATCACTTGCATATTTGCAAAGCTAACTGTGCAAATACATTCAATAACAGTTTTTTGTGAGATGTACGTGCTATTCTAATTCTCACAAGCCTTGAAGATCACTGATCAATGCGTTGTGTTTATGCATGCCTTGTCTGCCTGCCGTCATAATCATCCCAGTCCCCCATCCTTGTTGACTAGATTAAAAATGCCAAGAGAAACCAGTTTAGATCTCCAGGGTCGTCTAGTACACGGCTAAACCAAGATAGCCGTCTACACTCCTTTTCATATCACACAAAATTCTCACTCATAAAGACGACCACGTGATCATTTGTAACATCGAAAAGATTGAAAAGGACAAAAAACATTAGAATAGCAGAATTAGATCAAGCACAATCTAGCAGGAAAAATAAAATTGGAGATCTTGCGTTTAAAAGCAATATTCACAGCAAGATAGCAAACTCTGATACTTTTTATTGAAAATGTATCAACTAATTGCAACTTTTAGTTTCTTTAAACTGTTTTGAACATATATAGTCACACTTCAACTACTTATTTGATGTTATGACAAGCTAATTCGACGAATAATGACTACTTGTTTATCCAAACTCCTACGGCGCAAACTTGAAAGATCAAATTAACTCAAGCCGAAGAAAAAAGACGGATATCACAAAAGCAGAATTGGATACAAACAGCCAATCAAAACTCTCTCGGATTTAATTTTAGAGTTTTAATTGCGTGTAGTGTGCACGCGCTTCGATCTTCACTTCTACTGATGCCCAAGCTAATTCGACGAATAATGACTATCTTGTTTATCCAAACTCCTACGGCGCAAACTTGAAAGATCAACATTAACTAAAGCCGAAGAACAAAGATGGATATCACAAAAGCAGAATTTGATACAAACAGCCAATCAAAACTCTCTTTCGGATTAAATTTTAAAGTTTTAATTGCGTGTGCACGTGCTTCGATCTTCACTTCTACTGATGCCATCTACCAAAGCAGGTTTCCTGAGAAAATATGGCTTACTATTTTACATTTTGAAAGCAGAAGGTGAGTAGCATTTTGTTTTTGTAGCAAGTTATGCAACATTTTTAAATGAGTGTGGATAGAAAAATGTTTATTTTATAATGTTATTTGAAGATAGTCTATATGTATTAAGGGGTGTGCTAGTAACTCGATGTAGGTTACGTTTCATGATTTGTAACCGCCTAATTGGGCTTGAAATACTGCGATTTTGGGAACTCACTTAGTTCGCTTTAATCCAGTAGATTTAGGCATTCAACATTCAACATTCGTCGAAGGACGTAACGTCCGAAACGTCAATAAGTTATTTCACATACTTTTTTACGGTGCTAAGTGTATCTTTCTACATAACTGTTTCTTTAGAAACACCGACTCAACTCACACTAGTTTACCGCTAGTTCCCACCATTTCGACCTTGTGCAACAGGATAAAAAGTATTGATACTATTACATTTGTTGTATTTCTTTAGTTTCGGTTGCATTTTTTTTCAGCTTATGACCTTTCTTCACATAACGTGTGCCTAGCTTAAACAATATTAATCTGGGATAAAATGTAATGTAGAAGACATAAAATGTCAGGGTCATCTCTTTTAAACAACCAATCGAACCTAACCTTTGTCCCTGTTTTCTCTAATCACATTGCTCTTGAACTAATTCGGTACGGCATTGCTTAAAAAGCAAATTGTTATGTTTTCTAACAAATTCAGAATAGGTTGGTCCTCAAAAGATGGTTTTTGAGTTTTTTAATCACACAGAACATATAAATAATTCACGATTAAATACTTTGAGATTGCCGGCGTTATTACAATATTGAACTACTTGTATTAATTTGTATCTCTTTCCTTTGCATGATCCTAACTGAAGTTCACACACAAAAAAGACAATTTAAAAATTCAATTATATACAGTATTATTTTCAGGTGAATGTTATGATTGCTTTGCGATTACTTTTTCTTTTAATTACATTTCTTTTCATAATAGTTATGAAAAAAAAAAAAAACAATTAACAACTAGAAATATAAATTTTGGTACGATAATTGTTAAAGGGAAATTTTGGGTGGAACGATTATAATGGCTCAACTTGAACGAAAAATTAGAAAACAAAAAAGCAGTTCATCTTTGTGTTGCTGCAGAATTTTATTGCTAAGAAATGTCAACACTGACTATTTTAACTCCGTTTTCAGCAAATGGGCATGATCTGTATTACCATGGTCAAAATTCTCAAATTTCTCGTCATCCTGGTCTCAATCATGATAAATCATCCCAAGTCGTTTGTGGAATCATGTGATGCAAGCAAATTCATTAAAACAGAGTACATGGAACTGAAAAACCACACGGTTCAACCTATTCGAAGAATTTTTCTTGAGCTGTGTTGGGGGGAGTGCATGTCGTTGCCATGGTGCCTGTCAATCAACTCTCGTAATATTTCCGAAAGCGTTTATGAGTGCGATCTGAATAAATCCAACAAAACAGCGGCTGGTGGACTGGTACCTAATCCAACTTCAGACTATTACGAAATTTCAGTAAGTACCTAACTATTTCATTATTACAAAAACTTACTATGATATAGGCCTCATAATTGTTACAAACACCCATTGCACGAGTAAACACATTGTCTACATTGCATATCCATTCTAAAGTCCCGGGCGAAGTGTAAATACACACTCGCATAAACCGAGAATTTTCTCGTATACGAAATATGATGACTATCTTTCATTTTGAACCAATCAGAAACAACCCGTGAAAACTTTTTTTTCGAAAACAAAACAGAAAATGCAAAAAGTTCTTTTGCGCAAGCGAGCCTTTGAAAAAAATATTTGTGGGGCTTAAAAATGGAGTTGTATGCAGATTATTTTTTAGCTTGGCAAGTTGTTAACCACCAGGGGGGGATCCAGCGGAGGTGCTTTGGGTGCAGACGCACCCTCCCCCGTTCAAACGACGTAATTTTTTTATATATCAGTATAAACTTCTTTGCGCTGTTTATGTACTCCTCTTGTACTTCTATCAAGAAAACGAGTAGCATACACAACATGTGTCTGCCACTATGCTGCTTAACAATCTATTTGAGTAGTGTATTAAAAATAATACGTTGCAATACGTTCCTTTCGGTAAAATTGTGCATATTTTTCCTGCTGTAGACAATACACAGCTAACAAAAATGATCAGTTCCACCTGCTATAGTTAGTTTTTAGCTATATATTATTAATGACAAAAGCACCTCTCCTTACAAAATGCTGGATCCGCCCTTGAACCACTTCAGCGTTTGGAAGATTCTCTCAAAGTGGTTGAGTATATCACTATGATTTTGTTACTATAGAAACCTGGCGAGAAGATCTGCAAGCTTTATAATTGTGACAAAAAGCAACATTCTTGTAAGTCAGTCCATTTAATCAGTACAGTGCTTTGTCATTCCGTTAGTAGATCAATTTATAATTATTAAAATTCCAAATAAAGTGCTTCACTGTTGTTGAACTATGACTGATTAAACATTAAAATTTACTACATTTCATGCTTTAGCACACATCGCTCCAGTAACTATCACTTCAAGCATCAAGGCCATCTCAAGTCAACTGCCTTCTTCTAACGCCACAATGATAAGCACTCTGGTACCAACAGCGGCGTTGTCTTCTACCTCTACGACCTCCAGAATCGAGGCCACCTCAAGTCAACTGCCTTCTTCTACCGGCACAATTACAAGCACTCTGGTACCAACAGCGGCGTTGTCTTCTTCTACCTCTACGACCTCCAGAATCGAGGCCACCTCAAGTCAACTGCCTTCTTCTACTGCCACAACAACCAATACACCAACAACAGAACAAGCTGCTTCTTCTTCTACAAGCACCGCGGGCTCATCTATAACACCGACAACTCCTCCTACATCAGGTGCAAAATACGTTTGTTGTCATTTCCGCTTCAGTGTTTTTCTTCATTTATTTGTTTGTGTTTTGCTGTTTTCCACCCTTGTTCTGCTAAATCTGGGCAATGTTCAAGAACCATTCGTACTGCTTATATCCTTCACGAGTTCGGTTAGGTGTCTGTAATAGTCTCGAGTGGGTTAATTCCTGACACTAACACCGATGTACATTGCTGCGGATGCCACGAGGCTTACACACTTATCCGCATGTTCACGATTTACATAAATTACAATACGAACGATTTGCATATCATTACAGTGTCTTATGATTGGAGGAATAAAACAATGGCTCATTATTTCCGCGTTCTTATATCCTATTGTTTTCTATCATTTTTAAAAGTTGGCTTCCTATAGTTTTTTTTCGACCATACCTCTCCTTTTAAATCTGCTTTTTGTTAGTTACTTTGCACTCCCTCTTTCAACGGCTTTCGTAATGCCTCCGTCCTCGGTAACAAACTCTTACTTTGCATACCGTGGACATAGATTGTTATTGCAGTTCAAAAAGAAAACAGTCTTACCAATAGCTAATAATATCCAATTGAAAAACCTGTGCTTCCGTCCGATCCTCTTGCGCAAAGATCTTCAGTAACAACAACTAAAAAGAGAAAATTGCGTTGTTACAATAGACTTGAACATTTGCATTTTCGTCGAGTTGTGACGACTAACCCAGCATTTTAAAAGATTTTTGAACCCTTAAAAGCCTTTTATATCTATTAATGGATTTTTGATAATCACATCAGATTGTAATATTTTCAGATTGTCAGATCGATTTTCCAAGACAGTTAATTACAGACTATGTGGAAATACCATCAGCACTTGCACAAGAAGTTACATCGTTCACTCTAAGCTTTTGGTTGAAGCCTTCTTCATCGTACAAAGATACTCTTCAGATCTTTTCTTACTATGACAATAAAAGGGACACTGATATGTCCCTGGCGATTAAAGAAGATGGTGTAGCAGAGATAAATGTCGCAGGTGGCGGAGCGTAAGTCTAATGAAAACAATGATTTGATATCAATTATGAAACTCATTAATAATTCATGAACCATTACTCCAAATAGGATTAGATTTGGTCAGTTGACTGACCTTGTAAATCTGATATAACACTAGTGCTGCATCCGATTTACAACACGGTCGTCACCTGCATTGAAACTAACCCAACACTAGCAAGGGTCTCAGTTCAAAGTATTGTTTATAGAACGAGAGTGCGTGTTTTATCGGGATGTATTGATTCGAGCCGCAAACTCCAACATTCAGAAATTGTTATCATTTTAGAAAAAAGCTAAAAAGTGCGAAAAAATGATAATGCATATTAAACTTCTAATGAGCATGTGCATTGTGCCACAATTGAAGGAATTTTGATCCCACACGTAAGAACGGCTAGTCTATGCTATAGTGCATGTCTGCACCTCGGGAGGGGGGGACTCTCTAATATCAAAGGGCGGGGGTCCTCGTCGGAAATTCTGAAAGTGACCCCTAAAAGGGACCTCTATTGTGAGATGATGGGCGTGGTAGTGCTGAGAGGGGCCAATCAATAACAGATCATTTTGTTTTGGTTTCCCGATTTTATTTGCTCGTATTGAGTTTATGACGACGTTGCCATTTTATGACTGCTTAGGGTTGTCGTATACAAAACTTAGTTGGTAGGAATTCTCGTCATTGTCATTATCACCCTAAGCTGGACCAAAATACCGATTTCAAACCCTAAAAGGGACGTCGAGGACCCCGCCCTTTGATATTAGAGAGTCCCC